TTTGGGCCGACCCACTTAGTTTTAAACCGGAGAGACATTTAAATGAATGCTCGGAAGTTACTTTGACGGAGAACGAGCTCCGGTTTATCTCGTTTAGCACCGGGAAAAGAGGTTGTGCTGCTCCGGCTTTAGGTACAGCGTTGATCACAATGATGCTCGCAAGACTTCTTCAAGGTTTCACTTGGAAGCTACCGGAGAATGAGACACGTGTTGAGTTGATAGAGTCTAGTCATGATATGTTTTTGGCTAAACCGTTGGTTATGGTTGGTGAGTTGAGATTGTCGGAACATCTTTACCCGATGGTGAAGTGAAACGACGTCGTATAAATTTTATATACTGACTACAAAAGTTTGGTCAGTCTCCGGTTACCAGAAGATAATCGGTCAATTTGTGAACAAACTTGTGTTTGGTCTTGGACCTCTTGGTTCCTTTGGACACTTCAGTTGTGTCTCCTTTACCGCTTTTTATATTTCAATGCAATTTGCTTTTTTCTTTATGATGACTCAATTATATGAATAATTAAATAACCTGTACCATTTGATAAAGTTGAAAAACATAGGTGCTGAAAAGGGAGGTATAAACGAAGTCATATATTTTCCCAAAAAAAAAAAAAAAAAAAACGAAGTCATATATTTCAGAAAGGTCCATTATTCGGCCCGTTAATGTAATGCAGTGCTAATGTTGGAATGAGCCTCTATTGTTCAAACCCACAATTGTTATTTTGTACAAACATTCTCTTCTCTTCTTGATGTTCTTTAAGCTTCATTGGTCGTCATTTTAGTGTGATTCTCTGTTATTAACGTTGAAATCTTTGTGTAACCACAACACTCTTATCATCGCAGGAGAAAACATTGAAAAACAATCTTGCCGATTAAATATTTAGCAGAACAATACATAAGTAACCAGTCAACACCTAGTTTACCAAGTATAGTGGTAGTGTGAACGGGTTAGTTTTTGAATTCTACATACATGACTGAGATTATGGGACTTCCTTCTATTGTTAACAAAAAAATTACATGGGTTTGTTATAAAAATTGTTAAAAAAATTGTCATACAACACAAAATCTATTATCTCCATTTCATGCCAAGTGGTTTCTGGACTTGAACCGCTAAATTTTCAAAAAAATATCAGCCGGCCACATACCTACTTGTAACTTCGTAACCAACATATTAAAAACTACTAGTCGACCACGACCACTTTCTTTTGGCTATACTCTCTCGGACACTACTGATCACGTAATAAGAATAAGGAAAAGAGACTACACACCTTTTCATAAATTTGTATTCACTTTCACTGTAAAAGCAAAAAAAAAAAAAATCCTCAATCACATAACCTTTTTTGTTTGCTTCTGAAAATATAAATAGAAAGGTAAGCGAATCATAACATGTCACGCAATCAAATATAAATTTTCTTACAAAAAAAATTATTTAATAATCACTTCCCTTCTTTTTGTACTTGGCTGTCTAGATTCTGTCTCTTTCTCTCATTGCAACTCTCACAAGAACCAATGGCCACTTGCTTCAGCTACGTTTCTTCCCGTAACAAATGTTACCAATACAGCTTCTCACGCGCCGGTCTCCGATCATCAACCTCCGATCTCGGCGACGGCACCGTCGTCCACTGCTGGGTCCCTCAGACCCACAACGTCTCCAAGCCCACTCTCCTCCTCCTCCACGGCATCGGCGCCAACGCCATGTGGCAGTGGGACAAGTTCATAGACCGGTTCATCCCCCGGTTCAACGTCTACGTCCCCGACCTCATCTTCTTCGGCGACTCCCACACGACTCGGCCCGACCGGTCCGAGACCTTCCAGGCGAGCTGCGTCATGAAGGTGATGGACGCTCACGGCGTCGGGACCGTGACGGTGGCCGGGCTGAGCTACGGCGGGTTCGTGGCGTACTCGTTGGCGGCGCAGTTTAAGGAGAGGGTGGATCGGGTGGTGCTAATATGCGCCGGAGTGGCTCTTGAGGAGAAGGACGTGGAGGATGGGATGTTTCAAGTGAACAGCGCGGAGGAGGCGGCTGACTTGTTGTTTCCTCAGTCTCCGTCGATGCTCCGGCGACTTCTCCAGTTGTCTTTTTACAAACCTCCGGTTTGGATACCTTCTTGCTTTGCAATGGACTACATTCATGTAAGTTTCCATAAATGGTTTATTTCCATTTTTAACTATGATTTGGTGATTGTGAAGTTTCCATAAATGTTCATTTCCGTTTTCAACTATGTATTGGTGATTGTGGATACTTGAAATAGTAGGTTTGATTCTAAGTTGTTAATTATAGATCCTGGATGAAATGTAAGTTTAGTCGTCCATTTGTATATTCATGTTTTATGGTTTTGGTGATTGTGAAGTTTCCATAAATGTTTATTTCCATTTTCAACTTTGTATTGGTGATTGTGGATACTTGAAATGGTAGTTTTGATTCTTAGTTGTTAATTATAGATCCTGGATGAAATGAAAGTTTAGTAGTCCATTTGTATATTCAAGTTTTATGGTTTTGGTGATTGTGAAGTTTCCATAAATGTTTATTTCCATTTTCAACTTTGTATTGGTGATTGTGGATACTTGAAATGGTAGTTTTGATTCTTAGTTGTTAATTATAGATCCTGGATGAAATAAAAGTTTAGTCGTCCATTTGTATATTCATGTTTTATGGTTTTGGTGATTGTGAAGTTTCCATAAATGTTTATTTCCGTTTTCAACTTTGTATTCGTGATTGTGGATACTTGAAATGGTAGGTTTGATTCTTAGTTGTTAATTATAGATCCTGGATGAAATGAAAGTTTAGTCGTCCATTTGTATATTCATGTTTTATGGTTTTGGTGATTGTGAAGTTTCCATAAATGTTTATTTCCATTTTCAACTTTGTATTGGTGATTGTGGATACTTGAAATGGTAGTTTTGATTCTTAGTTGTTAATTATAGATCATGGATGAAATGAAAGTTTAGTCCATTTGTATGTTAATGTTATATGGTGTTGGATTATATAAAACTCTTGTTAGTTTTTTAAATATTTGATGTTCACAAGACTAATATAGTAGCTTTTCTTTGTTGAAAGGTGATGTGTAGAGATTATCTACAAGAAAGGAAAGAACTAGTGGAAGCTCTACATAAAGGTAGAAGATTCGCCGATCTTCCCAAGATAACACAGGTCTCTCATCTATCAATGCATCTTCAAATCTTGGTCTAATTTGTCTCTATAATCACTGAATGTACTAATTTGCAGCCTACATTGATGATATGGGGAGAGGAAGATCAAGTTTTCCCAGTGGAATTAGCGCATAGATTAAAAAGGTTAACCTATCTTATTTTCCCAATTATCATTTTACTCACTCGGATTAATACTTATTTGTTATTTGTTGCAGACATTTGGGGGATAACAAAGCACAACTAGTGCTATTAAAGAAGACAGGACATGCGATTAATGAAGAGAGACCAAAGGAGATGTACAAACACATGAAGTCTTTTCTTTGCACAGACGCGATAATTCCTCCTAATGACAATGCTAAGAGACTCATGTTAGCAAGCTTGATATCTCCAGTCAAGGTCAACAAGTGATGTTGCTGAATAAAATTAATCTTCTCCCTTAATCATGTCACTGAGTATGATTAATGTTTCTTATCTTGTTACTGTTAAGACATTGCTTCTTGTCGGAACCAAGCATCTTTTATATTAAGAAAGTAAAAAGATCCGATACTTTTACAAGGCTTCAGGATTTCTAAGCTTAGAAGAAGCCTCTGAAGCTTGTCTAATTGTATTTTTTAGATCATAATTAAGTATAAGATTATAATGATGATTAGACGGTAATTAGGTGTTTTAATTTTGATATTACTATTGCATTAGCCATATAAATTGTTTGGGAGGTAATATAGCAGGTGATAAACGAAGAGGTGTTGTTTACATAAGATTCATGATCCTCTGCTTTGTGGTTTATCTAATGGTTCTTTTGGTGATGGAGAGGAGAAGCAAGAGGACGAAGAAAGACTGTTTTACTCGTTCTTTGGTTTTTCCTTTTTAAGTGTTAGTAATTGTCAAATGATTTATTAAAAATTGATTGTATTGCTATTTGAATATAAATTTTCATCGCAGGTGTGTACAGTTGCAGAAAAGAAAAACAGAGATAAAGGTAAGTGAAATTATTTGAGACTGTTTTGGTAGGGTACATTGTAGATTCTGTATTATATAAAATACTGAAAATTCAAGAAAGATTTCGTATAAAAAATGGTTAAACACAAGATGGTGCCAAAATTTATAAAAGGGGACGTGGTCCATGAATCCATATCTTGTGAAGGATTCGGCGTGTTAGGTATGATGAACTGTAACATAATCTTATTTATATCATATGCAACTTGCCTGCCCAGAGGTGGATTTGGTTGGTGAAGGGCTATTCATGTCATTAACCAGCATCTTCAAATGTTTGTTTTGTTTCTCAATTAACACTTTAAATTCCTAAATAATTAACAAATACATTGAAATATCTTTCAATTCTCATAATTAAGTATGAATTATCAACTTTTATAATTCGTAAAACTCCATTTTAATTGAAAAAATTATCTGTTTCAAAATAATATACATTTTAATTTTTTTGCATATTATATTTATTTCACATTTATCCGAAGACAATAATTTTAAAATGTGAAAATAGCAACGTCTTAATTTATTTGAAAATATAAAGTTTACTATTATTATCTAATAAAAATAAATCTTATTATTTTTAAAATTTTCTTTTAGAATATAAACCATTTTACAATGTTAGGAAAATATTCTTATTATAGTTTCAAAACACATTTTCTCCAAAAAAATGAGTTGGTAAAAAAAAAAAATTAATTAGTAGTTAGGTCATGCACTTATGTGTGTAAAGCTCAAGCCATCAAAGCTGAAAAAAATATCTCAAATGCAAAGAATTTACAAAAATAACCCCAACAACCCTTTCCGTACCATCAATCTCTCTCTATTGTGTCTATAAATACCTCTCCTTCCTCACATTCTCTCTCTTCTCATCACCAGCCTCCATCACCATTCTCTCTCTCTAAAAAAAACCAAACCAAACTCAAAGAGGAGAGATCAATGTCTCTCTCCAACGCTGCCTCCTCCTCTCTCTCCACCAGATCCCTCTACACCGGTCTCTCTCCCCGACACAGCAACCGTCAATCCTCCATCACCTCCGTCAAGCCTAAGTCCGTTAACCTCGTCGCGTCCCTCCACGCGGCGGAGCCATCAAGAAACGCCGTTTCGGTTAAGGCTGGAAAATGGACGCCGGAGAGCTGGAAAACGAAGAAGGCTCTGCAGCTCCCTGATTACCCTGACGCCAAGGAGCTAGACTCTGTGCTGAAGACGATCGAGGCTTTTCCTCCGATCGTTTTCGCCGGAGAAGCGAGGAACTTGGAAGAGAGGTTAGCTGATGCTGCTGTTGGTAAGGCTTTTCTTCTCCAGGGTGGTGACTGTGCTGAGAGTTTCAAGGAGTTCAACGCCACTAACATTAGAGATACTTTTAGAGTTCTGCTTCAGATGAGCATTGTTCTTACATTCGGCGGCCAAGTTCCTGTCATAAAGGTTCCGATCTCTTTTTCTTTGATCAGTTAAATGCAATGTTCAGTGTATTGCTAGGCGGTAGTTAGGCGTTTTATAGAGGATTATTGATTAGGCGTCCGTATCTAGTCGTGGTAGTTAGGTGTTTTATAGAGGATTATTGATTAGGCGTCTGTATCTAGTCGTGGTAGTTAGGCAATTTATAGAGGATTATTGATTAGGCGTCCGTATCTAGTCGTGGTAGTTAGGCAATTTGTTAGGCAATTTATAGAGGATTATTGATTAGGCGTCCGTATCTAGTCGTGGTAGTTAGGCAATTTATAGAGGATTATTGATTAGGCGTCTGTACCTAGTCGTGGTAGTTAAGCGTTTAATAGAGGATTATTGATTAGGCGTCCGTATCTAGTCGTGTTTAATCGGTTCAGTTTAAGCCTGATTTACCGTCTAAACCGATTTTTATAACACTGGTTAGATGTATATGGTTGGTTTTGATGAGAATGTTTTTGTGTTGATGGTTATGTTTAGGATGCATTGTGGGATTTGGTGAAAAAGTACACTGGTTAGGTGTTTTATAAGGGATTATTGATTATGCGGGTGTTTAGACCGATTTTTTGAATGCCTATAAAGATTTTTTTTTAATTTTTCAAGAACAATCGTTTCCTTTAAATCCGATCAAGGCACTATCTAAACAGATTTGGTTAAATGTATTGTGGGTTTTGGTGAGAATATTTTCATGTTGATGTTTTTGTTTAGGTTGGGAGAATGGCTGGACAGTTTGCGAAGCCTAGATCCGATCCATTCGAGGAGAAGGATGGTGTGAAGCTACCTAGCTACAAGGGAGACAACATCAACGGTGACACTTTCGATGAGAAGTCCAGAATCCCTGATCCGAACAGAATGGTTCGTGCTTACACACAATCTGCAGCTACATTGAACCTTCTTAGAGCCTTTGCCACAGGAGGTTACGCTGCTATTCAGAGAGTTACACAATGGAACCTTGACTTTGTCGAGCAAAGCGAGCAAGCTGACAGGTATTGTGGTTTAAAAACAATTATTTTTGAAACAATCCTTATCTGCTTTACTACTGTTGTATTAGGTACGAGGAGCTAGCGAACCGTGTTGATGAGGCCTTGGGGTTCATGTCTGCGTGTGGACTTACCACGGATCATCCTTTAATGACCACAACTGATTTCTACACGTCTCATGAGTGTTTGCTTCTGCCTTATGAACAGTCTCTCACAAGGCTGGACTCAACTTCTGGTCTCTACTATGATTGTTCTGCTCACATGGTTTGGTGTGGAGAGCGTACCCGACAATTGGATGGTGCTCATGTCGAGTTTCTAAGAGGAATCGCTAACCCTCTTGGCATTAAGGTAATTTACTTTCTTTTTTAAAAATAAATAAATAAACACTTAAAAGGATTAATTAACTAAAAAATTGACGCAGGTGAGCAATAAAATGGATCCCAATGAGCTTGTAAAGCTTGTGGAAATCCTGAATCCTAACAACAAACCTGGAAGAATCACTGTGATTGTGAGAATGGGTGCGGAGAACATGAGAGTTAAGCTTCCTCACCTAATCAGAGCAGTGCGTAGGTCAGGCCAGATTGTGACATGGGTCTGCGATCCAATGCATGGAAACACTATAAAAGCACCTTGTGGACTCAAAACACGAGCCTTCGACTCAATCTTGGTACAACTAAACCTTCCATCACCATATATACTTAGCTTTTTGCATATATATTTATAAATTGTTTTTTTTTTTTAAAGGCTGAAGTGAGAGCCTTCCTTGATGTGCACGAGCAAGAAGGAAGCCACGCGGGAGGTATCCATCTAGAGATGACAGGACAGAACGTGACAGAGTGTATTGGAGGGTCTCGTACTGTGACCTATGATGACTTGAGCTCTCGTTACCACACACACTGTGATCCAAGGCTTAACGCGTCTCAGTCTCTTGAGCTGGCTTTCATTGTTGCGGAGCGGTTGAGGAAGAGAAGAACCGCAAGTCAGCGTCTATCTTGAGTGCCGTTTTTTTTTTTTTTTTTTATAATTATTATTTACATTACACTTTTTGGTTCCAAAGAACTCTTGTTTTTGGCCTCTTGGGAGTAAACCTGCCTGAAGCATTGTTCCGTTCTTCTGCGATGTCATGTCTTTGTTCTTTTAAGTTAATGTTAAACCGTATGACTACTACTGTAAACTCTCTCACATTTTATTTATTTTGTATGAAAAACTCTCTCATCATTACATATATCTACAAACATGAAACTCGTTCTAATAACGATCTGTCTATTTGTAGACAGGCTAGGACATGAGATTATACATGAATCAATTTCGGGCTTTTATTGTTTAAAAGTTAAAACTGTGTATGGTACCAGAATTCTTCTTAAAAAGTTTAAAATCATTACAAAGGCCAATTAGCTCAGTTGGTTAGAGCGAAGGTCGCAGGTTTGAAACTGCATGGTCCATTTATTTCATTTTTTTTCTTCAAATTGATGCGAGCGGAAATAAAAAAAACAACAGTTCCAGTGCTCCTCATAAGTACCACCCTCCACCTTGTTAATCAATTTCAGTTTTGCTACGTGTCATGATCATAGCTAAGCTCGTCTCACTCTCAGTTACCACAGACTCTCACACACTAGATCACACAGTAAACACAAGGATTCGCTAGAGACGAGGAAAGGTAGGCTTGACTAGAGATATGTATGTATGTGTGCTTTGGATTTTATATTCTGAACTTAGTTAGGTTAACTGGTTAAGGTCCGCTTTGACTAGATTCTGAACATGTATTAGAGTTTGATCGGATCGGATTGATGCTAGATCCTACTTTTGCAATGTTAGTTTCAATCAGCTAGATTGTTTAAAAGATGTAGGCTGAATCAGAGAAAAAAAAAGAGAGATTCAAACCTATCTAGTAATAATATCCAAATGGATCGTATAGGATGGTATAAAATAACGTTTACGTAATTAAGGCGTTCAATGCTCCAAACAAATTAATTTACTCTTACTATAAACGTTTAAATCTAATGAGCCCTAAAAGCCTAAACTAATCTTCACGATGAAAGTGCATTTACTAAAGGACGCCGAAAATCCGCACGCTGATGATGGATGTTTTGGCCGTACTTTCAGTTTTTGGCTCAAAATGAGCCTAACGAGTTTTAAATGATTACATTTTATAAATGGACAAAAAGGAAGCAAGGATTTTATCATATGATGTATGCGTATATCCGGTTAAATTATTTAAATTAATAATTTTATATAAATAGATAATTCAACAAGAACAAGACATAATAAATGCTTTATCATATGATGAGGTATTTAAAACACAAGAGAATAACGTCATGGACCTAATGTTCGGTCGTTAGCATGGGTCGTTTACATTATGTCATGACATTATTAGTATTGAGCCACTCAAATTCCATCTACCAAATATCAAGGTGGATTTGTTAGCCACTATTTATACATATATATTTAATTAAGGATTTACGTATCAATGTTTTATTTAAAGAAGAAGGGTACATATAAAACAATTATTAAATTAAACGCTATAGGTTTATTTAATTCTCTAAACACACATATATAGATGAGGTTGGAGTGTTTTGTCTCACATTGATGCTCTTTACAAAACTTTGGCCAGAGAAAGATAAACTTTTCGCACAGTTTCATTATATGAATTAAAATAAATGTAAAAGGTGAAAATGTATCATGGCCTAGTTGCATATTATAGTCGTCTGTATAGCGCTACCAACATGATAGTTGGTATGGTGATTTCGTAGTGAATTTCCCAAAAAAAACTTATCATTTTTAGATTATCATAATTCATTAAGGCATACATATATTAAGCGTACACTACTACACTGTCATATCTTTAGATTATATTATAGAGATGGGTTAAACCAGTGTAATAGAGATATACATATACACAAACGTACTTTTTATTGCTCACATTTAATTGTAAAGACATATATATATATAATATGCAACACGAAATCATCGGATATTCTCAAGCTACATACGTAGAAAATATACATGCATGCACTTATAACACATATGCATGCAAGTAAAAATGGATATGAAATCATAGAGCACATACAAAATCACCATTTCTCTCGTCATCAACATCATCGTAAATATCAGCATCATCAATATCATCAAGATCCATGCTCCCATCTATTAAGCCTAATCCACCATTATTATTCTTACCATTCACACCCTTTCTGGCTTCTTCTATTATCTTCACTATCTCATCAACGCTTTGTCGACACTTCTCTTCTTCTTCATCATCATCATCATCGTCTTCTTCTTCTTGTTTTACTCCAGTCTTATCTCCATTACATTTTTCCTCTGAATTCCCCGGCAACAGAGTCTTTAAGAACCAGGGGTGCTTTTCGATTTCCGGTACGGTAATTCTCTATCATGGTTTCAAATTAGGAACCTGGAATTAGCATAGTTTTCAATCCGGATTTTGGTTCGAATTATCAATTTTCACAATTTGCAGCTAATACAAAGCTACTATATTTAGGTTATATAAATCTTTTGTTTTAAATAAGTTATGTTTTGTCTTTAGTTTATCTTAAAATAAAGCCTGTGTGAGCATATTAAGATTCATTTCGTTCTGATTTAGCCAATATTGGTTAATCCATATATACTTAAAAAAAAATCATTAAACCCGTTTAGGTTGTAATTCATTACCTTGTCAGGGTCGGCGACGAAGATACGAGATAAGAGATGCTTGCATTCAGAGGAAATCCTGACGTAGTCCGGTATGGTGTAATGGACACTTAAGATCCTCTGTAAGTATATATTAATTTTCACATTAATAATTATTTTAAATTTATATACGACAACATTATATAATTCGTGAAATGAACCTTTAATTATAAATTTTAAGTACCTGAATGGTTTTTCTAATGTTTCTTGGATCTTCTGGATCTTCAAAGGGATATGCACCAACTAACATTACATATAGTGTCACCCCACACGACCATACATCTGCAATCTATATATCAAAAATCATATTTATCTAATTATATGACTTTTTATACACAAGTTGTTAATAATTTAAATATTATTAGTTAATAATTTAATTCGTATACCTTCCCATTATATTCTTTCCGTGACAAGACCTCCGGAGCAACATAAGCTGGAGTGCCCACGGTGGACTTTGGCTGAGAGTGTAAAACCGATGACTGTATTTATAAAAAAAAAACAAAACAAAAAAAATCATTATTCGGGGAATTCTACTTTTCAACTATATACCATTAATATGTTATGATCACTGAAAAATAAATTAAATGTGTGATAACACCTTCGAGTATCCGAAATCACATATTTTGAGCTGCGATGATGGGCTCCCGTCTAAGAGCGTATTCTCAAGCTTAAGGTCTCTGTGACATATTTGCTGCAATAAAAATAAAAAATCAGTAAATTGACAAAAAAAAAAACACTAAACTTCCAATTGTAAGATATTATTATTTTGTATAACCCATATATGTATGTATGAATGAATAATACGTACCATGGCGTGACAATAGCTAACACCCGAGATAAGTTGTTTGAAATAGTACCTTGCCTAAATAATAAACAGAAAGTAATCAATATAATTAGCCACGATATTAGTAGTGATCATTGTTAATGATGAATTAAGTATAATACTTCGTCTTCGCTGAATCTACCGGCACTGCAAATTCTTTCAAAAAGTTCACCACCTGCTGCATACTCCATTACTATGGCGAGATGTGTTGGTGTTACAAAAACCTGCAAAATACACAACACACATATTTATGTTATTTTAATTTGATAATCCTCAAGATTGAAGACAACCTGACGATTGCTTCTAATTTTATAGTCTTTAATTTTAATATAAGAGTTTTCAACGTCATGAGTATACACATACATGAAACTCGAACTTGGACCGTTGGAGAATGAGACAAGTTATTTTATTTAAAGCAATTTAATATTCAGTTAAAGAAGAGGTCTAAAGTCTAATTATATGAAATGTTACACATAATTTACATGAACATATGTCAATGGTCTTGATGATGTTCATAAACATACCTCTTTGAATCTGATGATATTAGGATGCTTCAAGTCTCTATGGTTTATGATCTCTCTCTGTACATGTTCATCAATCTGTACAAATCCAACCCTTCAGTTCATCTACTGTTCATAAGATTTAAGAAAATAATTTCTAAAGACAGAGACCAGTTCGTGTTACTAACAAAAAAAAAAGAATAATACCTTAAGGCCTCTTTCGATGTATTTGATAGCATAAAACTTTCCGTTGGTTTTATCTCTGACAAGCTTTGCAACTCCAAAGTTACCGGAGCCAAGATCTCTCAAGATGTCGTATCTCTCCATCGATGATCAGCACAAAGAAACAGAGAAAAAAATATTATTATTATTCCTTCGAGGTTATTAAAGTGAAGATGCAAGAGAATATGGCTTTTGTTGTGTTTGGTTCAGTTGCATATAGCATCTTGCTATTTATATAGACATTAACTCATACGAACCGATACAGTCAGCACCAACGTGAGAATATGGCTTTTCTCGTTATTGGCCCCCTTGTGAATATTGGGCCGTAAAAATTTGTCCGAAAATAGGCCCATTTGTCACGTGGCTTCTCTTCAAGAACATGAACAAGGTGGTGACTCGCAAGCCATTCAGTACATCTGTCTTTTCATCGCTATTTATTGTTTCGTACGTTCTTCTGAAAGAAAATAGTAAAAGGTGTTAGTGAATAAAAAGAAAGTAAGCTATCAATTTTTTTGTAAAAGATCATCTTATGCTATATCATTAATCATATCATCTTATTTCTTGAAAGTTTACACCTAACTAAGTTATTGCGATTATCCATTTGGTAGTTAGTTTCTCTTTTTAAAATAATTTCTTGTGCCAAACTTTCTCGTTTTATAAAACTTTTTTTGTTTGTGCAAGTCTCGTTTTTATATAACTAATAAATAAAATAACAATTTTTCTTAGCTTGGAAGAAGATGGCCCGCACTTAAGATTTTGTCATCCTATCCCGCAACCCAATAAAACAACAAACTCATAAATTGTAGTATACAATATACTATAAATGAGCTGATACTAATCTGGTTTAACAAGTCTACGAGAGTCGAGACTACAACTAAATCATAAAAGCTAAAAGCCAATTAGAAAAAAAATGTTGCTTCCACAGCTATATAAAGTTATAAACTACGTCGGACTCAACGTGCGTTGATTGTAGTAACATTAATTCTTAAGAAACTTGATTGTAAGTTTGTAACTAATAAGTAATAACATTCAAAATGCCAATAGCAGTGTGTCACCTTAATAACTACTAATAGGTATTCTAAAATCTCTTGTTGATTTTCTCTTCGTTAAATTATATATAATCTTTCTGTCTTATTCGTGTAAGCCTTTTTCATTTTGATTGGTTTTGTATGTATACATGCGTGTATATTCGAATACTATATTCATATTGATTAAAAAGTTATTCAACATTTCATATATTAATCCCCTCTCGACCGAAATGTTCATCACAGCATAATGTTATAAATACACTTAATTATATTTTAACCCAAACAAAAAACGATTATTTTACTAAATTATGGAGGGCAGACAGATTAATTAAAAAAAGTAAAGACGTCAACGCCTTGAGAAAGCGAATAGAAGAATCACTAAACAAAAGCAACGGTATGTATGTGGCCAAATAATCTCCGTTCACGTGGCAAAAAACAAGTGACAAAAGTACAATGCCAAGTGGGAATGGTGGATGCGCGTCAGGTGTAATGAAAAAGTTTACGTGGAAGGTGAAGATTGGGCCGTGGTGTAACGCCCATCACCGTTGAGTAGTTGGGTGATAACTTACTGGTCCCCTATTGGTTGCTATAAACAGAATACAAAGCTATTTGAAAGAGTTTCAAAACATTATGATTTTCCCAAAGAACTGACAAAGATATTTTATGTCATATAGCATTTGATAAAAAAAAAAAAGTTTGTGGGAATCTTCTATAACTAGAAGCCTTTCTAAAAAGAGTTTGAAAACATTAAGTGTTACTTAATTTGTAGGAATCTTACATACTTTTCTCCCAAATGTCATCAATTGCGTTTTAATTTGGTTAAAACTGTGGAAATATGTCAAATTTGTTAGAACCACAAAAACATATGGGGGGAAAGCCTTCCATTAATAATATCTGCACGAGATAATTTGAGAGTGCGTTTTGTCAAATAAAAAGGAAATATGTTTCTCTCTCTTTTTATAAAAAGAAAACAAATTCAATCTTATGTGTCTTTTGTAGTTGGAATTTTATGTGTATGTATTCAAAGTAAAGGCCATAAAAGCCCACTACAATCCTCTTACCAACCCAATTTATTCCATATTCTGGCCCATTATATAACAACCCTGCCATAAATGTAAGAGTTTCTTGCTGTGTGTTGTTGTATTGAGCTGCAACAAGCAATCTATTGTTCTCATCAAGTAGCCACATCTGACAAAGACAAAACGCCAAATGATCAATAGCTTTCTTGCTAGTCACCTCAGCATCAGTAGCTTCTTTAAGCTCCTTCTTAACATGACTTTCATCTCTTCAATCAAATCAGTTACCTTAAAAGAAGCCTCATGAGCCTGTGCTAGCTGAATGTCTCTAGGCATAATCGTCACGTTCTTGGCGTGGATAGCGCAAAGGTTAGGTTAGTGAGCCAAGACAGCAAGCATGGCTCTGGAAACGCAATGCCCTCGGTGTGGTGTTATAATTGGGCTGAGGTTTATTTTCTAATCCAAAATTTAGTTCCTAAAATTTTAAATTAAAATTGATAATAATTTTAGGATTTGTTTTTAAATGTATAAATAGCTAAATTGTATTTGAAATTTTATTTAATAATTTTGATATAAACATAATGCGTGTATTTATATGAGCATCGTTTTAAAGTTATTAGTGTAATAAAATGAACTAAATAATTTATATGGTATTAAACTGATTAATTGGAGTTTTTTTTTTATGAAATTTCTGATGATATTGTACACAATAGTATGCAATATGGAGAAAGCTTGATTGCGTAGCTCGCACGGGAGTAAAACTTAAATCCTAAAAATAATATATAAGTTTGGAGAAAGTTTGGTTGCGTAGCACACGCACGGGAGAGAAACATAGAAATTCTTAAGAAAAAAAACAACGAGAATACATTAGGGAGCGACAATAGTCTAGGCCGTCGCTACAAAACTCGTGGAAGATTAGTCTTGTGAATCTTGTCTTGGCAATGGATCAGCGTCATAAGGCGGTTTAGGAAGACTGATTGTCTCGTTTTGACTCCCAAGCATCAAAACAATAGAAGCCATGGGGGGCCTGTCCTCGGCATGGGCTTGAACACACAAGAGGCCAATTTGAATGCACCTGAGAGCTTCTTCTTCTTGATACGAAGATGGTGATGATGATGATGATGATGTGAAACATGGGTCTACGATCTCTAGCACTTTGTTTTGAATCCATAAGTTCCACGTCTGTATAGAAAGTAAGATGATAAGAGAGCTCGCTGTTTTGTAAAAAGTAAAAATAATTATGGATTGGGTTTCTATAAATAAAAATCTTACGAAGTGTACGAAATTTTGATGGTCATTTTGCCAATAGAACTCTCTTGCGTTTATTCCGCTGACCATTTCAAGAAGCAGCACTCCAAAGCTGTACACATCAGCTTTAACTGAGCACACGCCAGCTACTGCGTACTCTGGAGCCATGTGACCGCTGCGATATATTTAAATAAAGAGTCATTATTATTATTATTATTATTATTTAGAAAGAATAAAAAAAAAAAGATTAAACGAGAAAGGTATATAATATATATGCATGAATGGATTGAGGATCAAGATTGCTTACTAAGTTCCAGTCACGTTTCTCCTAACAACTTGAGTATCTTCCCCATCAAGGCACATAGCCGTTCCAAAATCCGAGACCTTGGGGATCATTTGGTCGCAAAGCAAGATGTTGCTGAGTTTGAGGTCAAGGTGAATGATCCTAACCCTAGAATCTTGGTGAAGATATAGCAGCCCTCGAGCAATTCCCTTGGCGATGTCCATACGTTTGTTCCAATCAAGCACAGTGCTCCGGATTGTCCCTGTGCATCACAAACCAAAATTAGATCTTTTCTTCTTCTTTTCTTTTTTTTGTTTTGGTATTAAAAGAAGGCCAATACTGTAAATGTAAGTGTTGAGGCTAGATTTTGGCAGGTACTCGTAGACGAGAATCATGGTTTCAGGGTCGTGAAAATATCCAATAAGCCGGACAAGGTTGGTATGTTGCAGAACTGCTATGAGGTGGACTTCGTTCCAGAACCCTTCGATTGCGTGATCTGTCAGGTTATAAAGACGTTTCACCGCTATGTCTTGCCCGTCACGTAACCTCCCCTGTATGTTAAAATATTAAAATGTTAAAAAAGAAGATTCACGGAGAGTCATGCATGGCTGTTACCTTGTAAACTTTGGCGAAGCCACCACTTCCGATTTCATCTGAAAAGTTGTTTGTGGCTTGGGCGATGACGTCAAACTCCATGAACGAAGATGTCCAACCACTAGTCTCCTCCACCATCTCCACCTCCACCTCCACCTCCACAGGTGCGTTTTGTTGGTTCGTTACCTCTCCAGGTGCTACAACTGACACAAGAGAGAGAGAGAGAGAGAGAGAGAGAGATCAGAACCCCAATTTTCTAAGGTCAAACAACAAGTAGTTTTCACCTGACAAGACTGCATTCTTAATTCTCTCCCAGAAGCAGAACGTGACGCCAATTAGAAGAACCAAAACGATTGCACCTCCAATGATGAATCCAATATTCAGGCTCCTTTTATTTTGTTTATTTTCTTTCCTCTCTGAACAAAAGAAGATTCGTATTTGTTTAGAAAATTATTTTAAAAAAAAAAAAAAGAAAGAGGATAACAACTCCACCCTCTAAAACTTAGTAATTAATTAAGCAATCAGCCGCTCGATATAATAAATAAATTATTATTATTATTTTCTTAAAAAGGATTAAACGAGAAAGGTATATATATATATATATATGCATGAATGGATTGCGAACACGTACAGTTGCCCCCAAGCGATATTTGCTTTTATGAACATATTTCTTTCTTTCGTTTTTTGTCAGCTAAAACACAATATATCTACACTAATAAAAGTTAACGTGAGAAAATCACAGATATATATATATTTTCGTCATCTAGAAATTTGTAGGGAAAATATTTTTATTTACACAGTTTTCTTAGCATTTAACAACTGTTTCCATGTTTTGTTATTCACTTCTTACAAAACCATGTTCTCGTTTTAATCTTAATCTTTTGCTTACCCGTAAAGCTACTAACGAAGAAGATACTTTATATGAGAAACGCTATTAGCCAGTGTTGTAAAAAAATGCTGACTATAAGTATACTATATAATTATAATTATAGATAGAGCAGTCACGATACTACCACCTTATAGCTATATATATATATATTATAATTATAGATAAGAGCATAATTAATTTGAGTACCCATAGCAAGACCAGCCACTCTGACGTAAAGATTTTGACCACGGTTGGTGCTATAACGTCGAGTATCCGCCAAGCTTACCGTCCACATGACACAACTCCACCCGCTAATCGGCATGTCCGTGTTTGCAAACGCCGTACAGTTACAGGTTTTGAGACACCTCTCCTTACATTCCTCCAAACCAACTCCCTCGTACAAAATTGTCCAACTATCAGTTTCAGGAAGTTTCATATTCTTCAGCAGCTGAAACCCATCATCATCGGAGCAGGTCACCGGTGACTTCCTCACGCAATTTCCACGTAGCGGCCGAAATCCTGGGAAACATTCACAAGACTTGAGCGGGTTCATAGAGCAGTACGTATTTGTATTCGCTCCACATGTTGCGTATTTATCACAAGTATCAGATGGTGCAATCAACATTTCCTTCCACTCTGTATCCTCCGACGTCCACTCGGACAAGGATAGTGACCCAGTAGCCAACAACGTCAGAGTTGCGTGGTAGTTGATCGTTGTTGCCCTGGGCAAACTGATAGTACCGTAGTATATGGGGTCGACACGGTACATTTTCGTAGAAAACTCCCATATGTAATATTGATACGCTGTTTCTCTGTAGTAGTAGAAGCGGCCAGAACTTAATCCCATTCCAAGATCCATTCCTGGAAGTAAAACGTCTCCTGGTTCATCAAAGCTCTGCCACAAGATCCCATTTGGGTTGTTGTTGTTGTAGCTAACAATTAGATTTCCCGTATCGGATAGACTAGCAGTCAACGGCGCGTCTGCAGCAGCGGTCCTTGTCAGATTTATCTTCCACGTCATGTAGCCTGACTCGTTGAAGAGTTGGATCCCAGAACTCATGCTTATTTGGATATATCCTCTCGCACTGTTGAGTGGACTTTCCCGATTACCGGTCCATACTACTTTTCTTGGGAATCCTTTGAACCAAATTCCCAAATACCAACGAGTACCATCTTTGAAGAGACCGAGTTCAAAGATTGAACTCGGGGACACAATTGTCTCATTATCTTCGGAAAACAATATTTCTAAGCTTAAAGCAGACGTGAAAATAAAAACTAAGAAAGAAAGACGTCTGAACATTTTCACTTTTTTTTTGACAAAGTGACCACGAGATATGCTCTGAAGAAGAAGAACTGATACAGAGAAACTGTATGATGATCGAAAAATCCGAATAGATGTTCAAACAAACATGTAAACGGTAGCTCAAGTGCAAAAGGTTACGATTGAAGAAGAACCTTTCTCAACATTGAACCAAATTCAATTACAGAGAGATTCTTGAAAGAATCCTAAAGGAAAGAAGATGAAGTTTTCAACAATATTTTTCTGATTGATTGAAAATGAAACGTAAACTCTGTTTAATAATCTGTTTCAAGCTGCTCTTCTCGTCTGACGCGTGTCCTGATGACGTGGCTCTAATGATTATATTCCCTGTATCGAAGGAGAAGAGTAGATGAAGTTATTTTTTTCTTTAGAAGATAAATGAACTAACCTTTTGACTTTATTGTTTACCAAAACCCATTCCTCTGTTTATGTCTCCGTTACCATTACCTACAACTACAAGGCTAACTGTCAAAAAAGAAATAATAATAAAACAGAAAACATTACTTTTTTACCCAAAAAAGAAAAAAGAAAAAGATAGCTTAGGTAGATATGCTCGACCTTTTCCGACGATCTTTGACGAACTGATATAATGCATACTAGGCTTTTGAATGGAGAACGCAGTCTAAATGTTGTTCACATCATTATATCAGTTCATGCAGATCATTACGTTACGCAGATGAAGCAGACTAAATATATTTCATGCAGATCATACATGGCAAATGTTGTTCAGGTTAATTTAATAAATTATTATATTTTAACAAATGTTGAATATTTTTAATTAAAATTAAATATCTGAATAAAATATAACTTATGATAAATAAATAATAAATATCATGCACATCATACATGACAAATGTTGTTCAGGTTAATTTAATAAATAAATTATTATATTTTAATAAGTGAAATGCATATCAAAGTGAAATACATATCAAACAGAATAAATACAAATCATGCAGATCATACATGGCAAATGTTGTTCAGGTTAATTTAATAAATGATTATATTTTAATAAATGTTGAATATTTTTAATTAAAATTAAATATCTGAATAAAATATAACTTATGATAAATAAATAATAAATATCATGTTGACATAAATAATAATAAATAAAGTGAAATTTAAAATTTTATGAAAATTAATCACAAATAAAATTATAAAAAGTATTTTGTGTTCGTGATTTTAAAATATGTTAAATTTATTAATACTTATATTTGATATATTGATATTTATACATAAAATTAGTATTATAATATTATATTTTAATTTTAATAATATTATATGTCATGTATATATATTCATAAATTTTGTAAAAATATTTAAGTTATGTACTATTTTAATATTTCTATATTTTAAAAAAAAATTTTATGGATCCGGATCCGATACTATATGGATATCGAAAACTTGGATATCCGGAAGACACGGATCCGAATACAATATTAAAATCACGGATGACGAATCCAGATTCAAATACTCTAATTGTCTCCGATATCCGAATATGTCTCACACTACTATCAACAAAAAATTTATATATAAAAATGTATATGTATTTGTGAAAACAAAAAGATATGTTTGATATTTTATAATTCATCGAAGAAACTAATTAAAAAATATCTTAATTTTTGAATTGTTTTTAATTGATGTATATATATATATATATATATATATATAACAAAATAATTAAACAAAACATAAAAAAGGGCAATTGACCAAAATAGCACTTCTAAGTTTTTGTCTCCAAAATAGCACTAGAAGGGAAAAGTCACAAAAATGACATTAATTAATGGGTAAAAAGTCTCTAATATCCTTGCTTTTAATTAATATTAACTCTAAACATTACTATCAATACTAAAGCCTAAACCCTAAAAATACTAACTCTACACCTTCAACCCTAAACCCTAAAACATAAATCCTAAACCCTAAACTTTTCTAAATCCTAAACCATCAACAATTAACCCTAAACCCTAAAAAAAATTCTCAATCTCTAACACTAAAAAATTACCTTAAATCCTAAACCTCAATTGTAAACCCTAAAGTCTAAACCCTAAAACCTAAACCCTAAACCATAGAAATAAACTCGAAACCCTAAAACCTAAGCCCTAAATCACAATTCTAACTTTAAATCTTAAACATTCAAATATAAACCTTAAAACATTAACCCTAATTTCTAAACCTCAATTCTAAACCCTAAGTCCTAAAACCTCAACTCTAAACCTTACTATCAACACTAAACCGTAAACCATAAAAGTAAACTCAACCCTAAAACCTAAACACTAAACCACAATTTCAAACCCTAAAAATTACCTTATATCCTAAACCCTAAAACTTCAACCCTAAACTCTAACCTAAACCCTAAACCCTAAAAAATCAACTTTAAACCCAAACCCCAAAACATGAACTTTAAGCCATAGACCCTAAAACATCAACTCTAAACCCTAAACTCTAAACCTAAATAATAAATTACACATGTGTTTGAAAAAAATATATACATGCCTAACGTTACGCATGTTAGTACGTGATAAGTTAAAACATAAAACAGATAAAAATATTAAATTAGAATTTTGAGAGAATTTTTGTTGGATTTAAAACTGAATGAAATAATATAAATAAATTATTGTATAATAAATTAATAGGGAAAACATTATGTGTATTGGTCATATATATATATATATATATATATATATATATATATATATATATTTTTTTTTTTTGCAAGTGCACTCTTTATTTATTTATAAGGCCCAAAAACGCCCAGTACAAAATCAAGGGCTCCCAAAAAGGGGACTAAGTCTAAAAAGCCCAACCAAAAAATATACACGTGAAACCTTTCTCCTAATTTCCTAAATCAAAAGATTTCCAACCAAGTAGAGAGAATGGAAAAACCAGGAGGAGCTCTCTGAGCTCTAGATATCGGATCCAGTTGAAGTTGGATCAAACGAGTGACGTCCAAAATGATAGCATGCGCAGGCCGGGGATATTAGAATGCAAACGAGCATTCCTCTCCTTCCAAAAAAAAATACACCGAAGCTTGAAACAACAACCGAGTAATGCAGCTGATGTTAAAGTCCTGACTAGGATTCTTCAACCAAATCAAGCAATCCTCTAAGTTGACCGGAGGAGAAAGGTGCAGGCGAGAGGAGAAGTAAGACCAAAACTTCCTAGAGTAGATACAGTCGAAAACAGGTGCTGTCGGCTTTCGTCGGTTGAATTACAAAGCAAGCAAACCAAAGGAACCATTAGCCCCCAACTTCTTAATCTATCCCTGGCAACCAGCCTATCTCTTGCAGCAATCCAAGTAATGAAAGCATGTTTCGGTATACGGTGTTTAAACCAGACCTGCTTATGCCATAGAACTTGGTCTCCTAAGGGATGTAGAGCATTCCAAGTATCTGCAGAAGAGAACCGAGCTTTTGGATTACCAATACCAGTACTCCAAAGATATTGATCGTCCACTTCAGAAGAAACAATAGGTCGATGGTCTGGTAAACAATTCTTTAAAAACGCAATCATAGGACTTCTACTTCTCGAGTTACTAATCCACACCCATCCTCTCTCACTGCGTCTGCCACAACAGCCTCCATTGGTAGACCTGAGACCATAGGACCAAGCGGACCAGTAAGATCAATAAGGGGACCCAAAGAAGTCCAATTATCAGTCCAAAAGTTAGCTGTAATCCCTGATCCAACTTCACAAAAGATAAAAGGCATTGCCATATGTCTCAATTTACATATACTTCGCCAAATCCAACTTCCACCAGAATTCTCATCAAGCTCCCATAAATTAGAAGCACCAATAAGGTTAACTTTAACCCAAGAAACCCATAGCGAACCCCCAGCCGCAAACAATAGCCAGATTAAATGCAAACCCAAGACTTTATTCCAATCCTCAATCCTTTGCAGACCTAAACCACCTGCTTTCTTTACGAGAACATACAGAATCCCAGGAGATTCTAGCGCCTCTTGCAGAAGTAATGGAACCTTTCCAAATGAAAGCATTGCACATCTGCTCCAAATCTCGGACACACTGGTTTGGTAAAACAAAAATAGAAGCCCAAAAAGAGATGGTGGAGTAAATTACTGACTGAATCAGTTGAAACCGACCTGCAAAGAAAAGGTGTCTAGCAGTCCAAGAGTTAAACCGAGCAGCAATAGTATCCAGAAGAGGCTGGAAATCAGTCTTTTTCATCTTCTTGGACGAGAGAGGAACGCCAAGATACCTAACAGGGAGAGCTCCTTGACTGATCCCAACTGTATTAGCCAGAGCTTGACAGAGTAAAGGAGATCCACCATCAATCATCAACTCAGTTTTTGCTCTTTTAATACTCAGACCTGAGGCCTCTTTAAACTCTTCGAGAATAAGGAGAATGCCACGAAGAGACTCTTCAGTTCCATCAAAGAAAATCAGAATGTCATCCGCAAAGCTGAGATGAGATATTAAAGGAGCCTCACATGAAGGATGTAACTTGAATACCCCATTGATGACACCCTGATCGAGTCTTTTGGATAGAACATCCATGGCCAGGACAAAAAGAAGAGAGGAGATAGGGTCCCCTTGCCTTAAACCATTTTTTCCATTGAAATAACCCTGAAGCTCTCCATTAATAACCATATTATACGAGGTCGTTGTTACACATTCAGAGATCCACTGAATCAGAACTGGAGGTAGCTCAATAGCTTTAAGAATATTAAAGAGGAAATCCCAATTCAAATTATCACATGCCTTGGTTAAGTCCACCTTCAAACAACCTCTCAAAGTAGGGCCAATCTTGTGACAATCAGAAACCAATTCAGAAGCTAACAACACATTTTCACATAGCAAGCGATCCTTAATGAAACCCACTTGGTTTCTTTGCACAACATCAGCGATAACAATCTGGAGTCTTTTCTCCAGAATTCTTGACATAACCTTATACACGGTGGAACAGAGAGCAATTGGTCTGAATAGATGCAACCTGTCTGCTCCAGTGACTTTGGGGATGAGAG